TGCAATTATACATCCAGTATTCAAGCCTCAATGGCCATAGATAAAACTTCCACAGAACGAACCTATAAAAAATAAACTTAAAGCATTATTGAAAAAATGCATTGAAAGCCTTAGAAATGATAATGCAAGAACTGTTAATTTTGAGATATCTTTTTTGACGAAGAAGTAAAGGGTGGATTAGAGGAGGATAGCTTATCTTTTTTTGAAGCAATGGATAAAACAATAAATGTTTTTAATAAATTCCCCACATTAAAAGAGTTGTTTATTAAGTATAATACCGCATTCCCCTTATCTGCCTCTGTAGAGCGCGTTTTTAGTACAGCTTATACCGTATTAACTGCCAAGCGTTCCTGTCCATCAGATGAAAATTTTGAAAAACAATTGTAATTAAAAATTAATAAGAAAAAATTTTCATAAATAAAAATATCTCTTTATTCGTTATATTATATTGCATTTATAAATTATCAAAATAAAACTATATTATTTTTTAACATGGCTAATATATTGTGTTAAAAAAAATATAAGACATTTATTTATATTAAATTAAATTTAAAAAAAATTTATCATAAAATTTTGAACATGAACGCTTCCTTTTTTTGAAAGTGAACGTGAACGCGTTCTATTTTTGTCAATGAACGTTGAACACGTTCGATTTTTCACATAAATTTAAAACGAATAGTAAGAAAGCATTAAAATTTATATATGAAAAAATTAATATATTACAAATTTAAGATCTTATGCGCAAATTCTACAATAATAAGATTTAGGGTTATATTTTCGAATTACATATACATTTTTGATTATAAGAATAAGTAATTTTGTTATGTTAGCTTGTCGTTGCCACATCAATATATAATAAGAATATTATTATATTTTTTAAATTTTAATTTGTTAAAAATTTCATCAAAACACATAAAATTAAAACACTAAAATAGAATACAATTTCGTTATTGTGTTCCCAAAACGGAACCATAATGCATCGAAAGATTTCTATTTGAAATTTTTGACGATTATATAAAAAATTCTTTGGCTTCGTTGGTAAAATACTGAATTTTGTTATTTTAAAAAACTTATAAGTTAATGGCAAGAAATGGCCGTTTGGTTATGTGACTATTGGAATAAAAACTAAGTTAAGATTTTTGTATTTATTGATCCGTTTTATTACTACTCGAGTTAGCGGATTGATGTTTATGTTTGAGGGGAATGAAGATCAAGAAATATATGATTTCAAAAAATAATACCAAAAGCAAACTAGATGGTATTGAATATATCTAAAATAAAAAGGCGTGAATTGAAATAATAAATTGAGGTTTTCTCATGTAGTTGATTTAAAATAAGATTAAATTTAGTGTCCCCAGTCGAGCCAATTTATTAATAATTTCGGAAATATATTTTGAAGAAATAATCAATTTAAACTATTTTCCCTCATATTCTCCTAGATTGGATATATCTTGCCTCCTCATTAACGAATTTTTATATTCCCCTTCCTGCGAATTCGCTTAAACTGAAAGAGGGGATACCCAGCAATCAATGCAAAAATTTGAAGCGAAGTATACTAAGTACTCTGTATTTTTGTATACTTATCCCTGAATTCGCGCTAACTGCTAATGAGGCGTATAAAAATCGGTACTCCTTTATGTAAAATATTTTACGGTTGGGCCAGAATATTTTTACATAACTATTTATCGGCTGGGCAAAATTATTATTGGCCAGGTTGAAAAATATTCAGGGCTTTTTTCTAAACTGTAAACTATCTGAAATGTGTTGCCTTTATTGGAGACATCAGTGCCAAATCATAAGGCGGCTTGATTTTGCATATATTCATAGACATTCAAAGATTGGATTGGGAAATTTAAAAACATAATTAATAGAAGAATAAATTTATTCACATGTGTTTTTTTGGTAATAAAAATAGAATTTGACATTTTGGTGAAGGAAGATTTTTGTGAAAATCAATAAGTATATTTTTGCAAAATAAAGAGCAATTTTTGGTCAAGGATATTTTACTGTTTTTTTTCGAAACAAAGTATTTCGCTTTTTTTTGAGTGACATTTTTGCTATTACTAGTAAAATGGCAAGACAGGGTATGTATATAAATCAATGGTCATATTTCATATTCAATTATTATTTCCTGCCAATATATTGGTCTCCAATTAGTCATTTTTACTCAAAAAATTGAAATTCAAATTATGGCAGTATAATTATGTATTCTACCATCCCTTTACCCTCAAAGTAGCCTATCCTTATATCTCATTGCTCCATCTGCCTACAATCGTCTTTAGCTATTGATCATTTTCTTGTCAACCATGTCTAATGCTATATCTAAAATTCCTTTATTAATTTATACCTAAAAATCTTTTAATTCTAAAATATATATCTAATTATCTTCTTTTTATCATTTCGCGTTTATTTCTTATTTTCTTGTCCTCTACAAAGCTCACATCCTTTTTTTTTAAAAAAACTACTGAAATATAAATATCTCTTTTTGCACATAGGTTGATAAAAAGACAATGAAATCGAATCATTATATTTTTCGCACCCACGTTGTTAAACAACCACTGAACTTTAGTTTTCACACCCACGTTTTTGAACAACCAATGAAATCTAATTATAGTTTTTTGCACACCTATTGTTGAAAAGCAACTGACATATATATTTCTAATGCATGTTTTTCTTTCTGCTCTTAATGTTGCATAATTGATATAAAATCTTATCAATGATCCAAAATAAAATTCCGGATCTCTAATTGAGCTAGATTGCGGCATGAATTTTTTAATGATGAAAGCCGTTTTACTTTACGAAGACTTTAGTTAATCAGCAACCTAATATTTTACTAAATATTATCAACTTTGACGTATCTTATTCACCTATCAGATCATTGAGGCTGTTTTATCTATCACAACCCTTAAAATAAAAGTTAAATGTTAATAAGAATTAATTATAACATCAACATATTTTCTAACAATAATTTTATATTCGTTTTAGTCTCTATTCTTCTTCTTAGAATCTTTTTTAACCAAACTATTTGCATTCATTTCAATCTTTTATCTTAATCTCCGCATATTTTCAATTATAGTTTCTTTTTGCACATCTTGAAATTATTTAATCTCCACAATTTATATTACTTTTTATTTGTCACAGTTATCTCTAGTGATCAATTATTTAATAACATATAATAATTCTAAAATCTAAAATATCTTATAGTCTCGATAAGATTCTGTTAAATTCCGTTGGTTTCTAAGTTTACCAATAACTTAAATTATCGCCTAATAACTATAATAAAACTTCTTTATATCTTATCTACTATGAATTCTACATGAGATCTAACTGAGCTACCGTTTAATAATTTTATTCTTTTTCAATATACGTCTTTAAAATTTGATTTAAATAACTCTAAATATTTTTTTTATCCAAAGTAAATTTTATTTCAAAATTATAAAAATATATACGTCTTTTAAATTTTATTTTTTTTCTAAATATATTTTGACAAGTAGTAAGAAACTTTAATAAGTTAAGGTTAAAGACCCTGTAACCTATAATTATAAGGTTGCTAAAAATAATCATGTATATATATAAAAATATGAATAAATAATTTACTATCACTTTATTGCATGACTAATGTACCTAGACTGACGATGTATTCATAATAATGCATTTGAAAGCGTCGTTGAATGCAAATCAGCTGGATCCGCCATTTTGGTAACCAGTATAGTAATTATCCTCATGTTAGAAACTAATATTAAATTGCTAACTTGCTTCCTTATTATCTCGATGATCAGGCAATTCTTTAATAAAGTTTACGTCAGATATAGGAATTAATTGGCCACTGGTTTAAAATTTTTAATAATGATATGTGTAACCAAAATGGCGTCCATAGCTGTTTTTATTGATGTACATTTTTAATGAATGCATAGTAAGTTTAGGTATTACATTACTATATGTCATTGGATCCAACGTAATTGTAAAATAATAAGATGTATAAATTAAAAAGCTAAAATAAAAATATAAAGAATATACCAAAAATTGAAAACTGAAGTATATTTACAAAATCTCAAATAATCCTCATTTACATAGTCTGTAATATGAAATTAAGCAATATCGTAATAATTCTAATTTGCATAAGTAAATATTTATATCATAAAAATGTGCACTGCTATTTTTAATATAGATATATTGTTAATTATTAATAAATCATTTCCAAAAAAGTAGCTAAAATTATTAATGATTCTGTGTAGCTTATGGAAAACTTTGGGGGAAAATGTATTTGTGTCTTTACGATGAATCCATTTAAAATTTGTATAGGTATTGATTCCAATACTGTTAAAAGAATCATAAATCTGAAAGAAAAGAAAGTAAACTCTAAGACACTGTACAATGAAATAAAATAAGTTAAAAAAACATTCATGGATAAAAGAAGGTTTAAAAATTTTTCTAATTTGTTCAAATGTTTGTAATTATATATAATTATTACCCTGCTCTCTTCTTCGAAAAATGCCATAACTTTTTCAAAAGGGAATGAAAATTAGAAATAAGGCTGTAAATTGATAGGAGGAAAAATGAAAATTTAATTGCGCAGGTGAAAAAAATCATGCGAGAGAATAGTTGGGGTACCCATATTATGCCTCAATTTAGAAACACTATATATTAAAGCGGGGGGGGGGGGGGGTCACAGAATTTAAACATGGGATTACGTTTTTTTCCCTTTACATATACATTACTGATCTACGTAGATTTTTATTTTCATCGCTTTATGTTTAGCATATTGCTCATATATAGTAATATCACTCTGCTAGTATAGTTAAAAAGCTCGATTCCGGTTTACTTTATAAAACGGTCCGATTAAGATTATAACAAAAATAATATTGTGTAAGCTTGGGCTTTTACTTGCAAAATCTTGAGGCTTACGCAATTTTATTTTGACTAAAATCTTAATCGGGCGGTTTTTAAAAATTGACCCAGATCGGACTTTTTAACAACAATAAAATTATCTAAATAACTTTTGTAAGCTCGGTTTTTATATTCACGATGCTAGCTTTGAACGAGTCCATTCCAGGATTTAATTTTGACAATTGCAAAAGGTTTATTATTTATTAAATATTATTGCTTATGTGGATCTTAGAAACATACATTTACTAAATAATAATGCCATAAAGTCAAAATTTATTAAAACGGGTACAACAATTGCTGGAGCAATATTTAAGGTTATGACAACTGCTATATATTAAATTAATATTTCTTTAGGATGGTGTTATACTAGCATCTGATACAAGAGCTACAGAAGGTGATATAATAGCGGAAAAGGAATGCCAAAAATTACATTACTTGGCTCCAAATATATAGTAAATTTTTAAAACTATATTATTTAAATAAATTTTATATAGTGCTGCTGGTTGTGGGGTTGCTGCCGATTTACACCATTTAACCTTGATGATATCTGCAAGATTGGAATTATTAAGAATGAACATGGATGATAGACAAATTAGGGTTGTAACTGTTAATCGTATTTTTAAACAGCTTCTTTTTAGGTAAATTTATAATATTAATTTTTTTAAAATAACTATTATTTATATCTTTTACTTTATATGAATATATATTCCCAATAATTAATCAAAATTTTTTTTAATTTACTTTAATTCTGGAATATTTAACTAAATATTGAGTTATCTTAATATTAAATTTGTAAAATTTTTATAACCTTAGAAGTAAACAGTATAATTTTTCAGAATAAACAGCATGAAAATAATTTAATCGGGGTAATAATTTGCATGGTACTGAGGCACTAATTGCCTTGTTGCATTCATTAAGCCAATTTATGGTCATAAATCAAGGGGGGGGGGTGATGTTCAAATGTCTGCCCTATCTTTTTTTATATGATTAGACATATATATGCTTTATTAAGGACAAATGAAATGTACCACCCCCCCCCCCCCAACCTCTAATTTTGTTAAGGGATATACTGATTTACTACCAACCTGATTTGATATTTACTGATATATATTTCAAACAGCACTGATACCAATATTTACATTGATTTTTTTTATTATTATTTTATATAATACAAAATAATGGAATAATGAAAAATTGTGAATACATTTTTTTTAAAAAAGCATTTTAATAAGAATATTTACTTATCTTTTCTCTTCAAAATCAAGAAAAGCCTCAAAACTTTAAAATTCTAAAAATATATTATTCTTTAAATTTGTATATAAAGGTTTATATTTATAAGATATATGATAAATATTGTCTAATTTTATTAAGTAATAGCCTAAAGAATATTCATATCCTTAGTTCCATATTTTTTTTAATGATGATCAGAATTTTCTATTTTTAGCCATAATAAAAACAAGTGCAATATTAAATGCTAGCACACTATGTATATTCATATCAAATTTTCTTTTTAATATCTTTATTTGAATAAAAAGTAAAAACAAATTAAATATCAATTAATAAAATATAAAATTATTTAAATTATAATATTGGATATTTGTATCTATAAAGATAAGAGAATAAAATTTAAATTGCATATTTTTGACTTAATAAAAAAAATTGACAGATTTAAAAAATAATATATATTAAAATAAAATTATACCAAAGCTAATAATTTAAAATTACATGATTTTTATTTACTATAAGTTCTTTCTTAATTAAAAAAATGGAATATAAACCATTGATAATTAAAAGTACATAGCAAAAATTTTGAGTAAATTTTTATATTAGTTTATTAATATTATTTACTTCTATCATTAAAAAGTATAAAAGAACATTTTTATTTTATAAGTGGTGCATTCCTTCACACTTTATGGGGGATATGTAAATTTTTTACTAGAAAAGGAAATTAGTTCAAAATTAAATAATAATTTATTTTTTAACATGATCAGACTTGTAAAATCTTTACTTGATTAGTGGGATTTAAGGTATTATAGCCCTTTATGGTCAGGTCCAGTCTGACTTCAGTTTGGCCTTATGACCTGGGCTTAATTTTTTAAAATATTTAAACCTGGCAAAGACTCTTTAAAAAAATTGTCTGATTTCTAAAAGCTAACCTTCAATTTTAAACATTTTTTTATGATTTTATAATATTTTTAAAATAATTATCCAAGATACTCTTATGATAGAAAAATTATCTATTGGGAATTATTAATTTTTTAAAAATTTACAAAATTACTTTTTTTATTTTCAACAATATTTTTTGCTAAACCTCACCCTTTTAATTAAATAATATTTTATTAGAAAGTATCATTTTTTTTAAATTCTCCAAAATTTACTTTTAGTCATTTATGAAAAAATGTATTATTATAAAATTTTTTATAATAAAATATTAATTGAAAAAAATAATATTATAGAAAATATATTAATAACACTATTAATAAAATGATTTAATACTTGTTTGCTTCCTATTCCCCCAAAAAGGTAGGCAGAGTCAGACCTAGTAGTCGATTAAAAACGGCCCTATTAAGATTGTTTAAGTTCAGATTATTTTTTTTCAATTTATTTCTCTTATTTCAAAATTTATATCCAAATTACAACAAAATATTTAATTTATTAGAATATTAAAATATAATTAAATTTATATCCCAAGAATTAAAAAAGTAATATTATAAATCTAATAATCATAATTTTATAAAAAATATATGATTAATATATTTTATAAAATATGTATATAATTATTTTTAAATAACTACAATATGTCCACCCCTAACGGGCCAAGGACATATATCTTCGAAATAATCAAAAAATATATATATTTGTACTATCTAGAATCTAAGATAGGTATGGATTATTTTAGGGCTGTGCTGATCCACATATTTTTCACCGATTCGATATTTTCCGATATTGCTTCTAAGCCGATCCGATATTTTTACTGATTTTTAATCACCCCCGTTTAAACAAAATGTAATTAAGAAATCATCGAATTATGAATTTAATTTAATTTTTTTATTTCTACAATTAAGACTATAATAAAAAAAATATATATTTAATAATATATCCATTTTATGTTAGAATTATAAAATTGTAATATTTAATATATAAATTTTTTTTAATAAATATGAGAGCCTCTAGATTTTTTGCGAATAAGCTTCTACGAAATGGACTATCTATATCTCGTGCCGTACTGAAGGCAGACTCAGATGATTCCGCAGATAACGCATTTTGCAAAATAATCTTTGCCTTTTGTAAAATATTTCCATAATTCAGATACCATATTTTAAAAAAATTCTTTTATTTAAAGTATAAATAAAAAAATTGACGTTATTTAAAAAGATTTAAATAAATAAAACTTTGGGTGTTCCTTTCTATTTTTATAAAAAAAACTTTTAAATACTATAAATCTATTTTAAAAAGAAATATAATTTAAAAAAATTATTTAGAAAATATTATAATAATGTAAAATAAATATACATAACATAAAATAACAAAAAATAACAAAAAAAGAAAATTTAAAAGATCGGATCGGGTTTTTGCAGGTATCGGTCCGATCCGATATTTTCGAAAAACGCTAAATATCTATAACGATCCGATCCGATATTTAATATCAGCACAGCCCTAGATTATTTTTCATTGAAGCATAGCTGCTTCTTCCATTTCACTAATATTTGTTATCATTGTATTTTGGCTTTTCTCTTCTGAGTATTCATTCGTTTCATTATTATTTTTCTTTTCTCCATTTCTTTGATGATTCATTAGAAACCCTATTCGATTATCATATCGTCTTATGGTTGAATTTCTTAATTCGGAATTTCTTAGATCCATATTATAATTGTTTGCACCCATCTCATTCCTTCTTCTGAATCTGACATAATGGTTGTTGATGATTTAACGCATAAGATGGTACATCACAATCCATCATTAGATGTTGAAATGAATGGCATCGAAAACATTGTCGTGCATTAGAAGATGTTAGACCTTGCATAGCATATTTGGTATGCTTTTACTATTATTATTTTTTTTTTCTTTGTCATTCCCATTATATTTACAACTTTTTTTGGTTTTGGTATAATGATCACTCGTAAATAAAAAGGTCCGCAATCTACTAATGGTAAATCTTTATTTTACGTACGTTTTTTACGATATTAAATTAATTATTTATAAAAAAAATTATAATTTACTAAATTAAATTAATTAATTTCATAAAAAAAGATTTTTTTTACAATACAAATAAAATGTTATGATTTTAATTTGTTAATTTTTATAATTTTCCAGAAATCATAATGATATTAATTAATATAAACTTTCACACTTTTGTATATATCATCAAAAATATGCATATCAAAAATTAAATAAGTTCAAACTGCAAAACATTAATAAACAATTTCACACATGTGTATACTATCACCAAATGTGCATATCGAAAAATTAAATAAATTAAAAATGAGACACATTATGTTAACACATTCTTAAGATTTTATTTCTTTATTCCTTTGATGGTTTGACTCACAAAAGTTATCCACAATAGATAATCATATAAAATATTTTATTTCATACTTGTCTCTTTCTTTTCTTCTAAAGAATCATTGAGAAATTGAAGTATAGCAAATTAAATTTTAACTTACAATAAAAACTTCACAATTAATTACACACATGTTAAATCTTCTCCGATTGAGAAAATCAATGAGAAATTAAAATTAAAACTATTTTCAAATCATTCTCTTATCACATTAATAGATTAAAATATTTCCTAAGAAAGAATTGAAATAATATTCTGATATCATAAAAAAAATATTTTATAAAACTAAGTATGTATAATAACGATTTACCATTAGTAAATTTCGGACCTTTTTATTTACAAATGATCATTATTCAATTAAATCCAAAAAAAGTTGCAAATATATTGGGAATGACAAAGAAAAAAATAATAATAGTAAAAAGTAAGGCTGTGCCGATATTAAATATCGAATCAAATCAACACCGATATTTAGCGTTTTCCAAAAATATCGGATCGGGTCGATATCTGTAAAAACCCGTTCGATCCGATTTTTTTACTTTTCTTTTTTTGTTATGTATATTTATTTTACATTGTTATAATATTTTCTAAATAATTTTTTTTAAACAATGCAAATGCACAACACCCGCTAAATTTTATTTAAAAGTTTTTTTTATAAACATAGAAAGGAACTCCCAAAGTTTTATTTATTTTAAATCTTTATAAATAATAACGCCAATTTTATTATTTATACTTTAAATAAAAGAACTTTTTAAATATGGTATCTGAATTATGGATATATTTTACAAAAGACAAAGATAAATTTGCAAAATGCGTTATCTGCGGAGTCATCTGAGTCTGCCTTCAGTACGGCAGGGGATATAGATAGTCTATATCTTAGAAGCTTATTGCCATAAATATAGAGGCTCTCTTATTTATTTTAAAAAATATTATAATTTTATATATTAAATATATATATTTTTAAATTAAATGCATAATTCGATTTTTTGCATAAAAAATATTGATTTTTTAATTATATTTGGTTCAAAGGAGGGTGGTAAAAAATCAGTATAGGTTTTGAAGCAATGTAGGAAAATATCGGATTGGATAGGTGAAAAATATATGGATCGGCACAGCCCTAGTAAAAAGAATACCAAATAAGCCTTGCAAGGTCCACCATCTAATGTACGACATTGCATCAATGCCAATCATTTCAAATCTAATGATATGTGATATACCATCTTATGCATTAAATCATCAACAACCAATATGTCAGATTCAGAAGAAGAAAATGAGGCCAGTGGGTGCAAACAATTATAACATGGATCTAAGAAATTTTGATCAAGAAATTCAACCATAAGAAGATATGATAACCGAATAGGGTTTCCAATGAATCATCAAGGAGATGGAGAAAAGAAAAATAATAATGAAACGAATGAATACTCAGAAGATATAAGCCAAAATACAATGATAACAAATATTAGTGAAATAGAAGAAGTAGCTATGCTTCAATAAAAAAATAATCCATACCTAGGTTCATTAGCAACCAAATGATTCTTTGATTCTAGATAGTACATACATATATTTTTTGATTACTTATGTCCTCGGCCCAATAGGGTGAACATGTTGTAATTATTTAAAAATAATTATATATTTTTTTTTAAATAATATGTCAATCATACATTTTTTTAAAAATTATGATTATTAGATTGATAAAACTTTCACTTTTTTAATTCTTGGGAAATAAATTTTATTGTTTTAATATTCTTGTAATAAATTTAATATTTTGTTGTAATTTGGTTATAAATTTTGAAATAAAAGAATAATTACAACAAAGATAATAACCAAAATAATATTACGTAAGCCTTGAAATTTTGCTCATAGGTGGCAGAAAGGTATAGATATCTATTTGCCAAATCTCGAGGCTTGCATAATATTATTTTCGCTAAAATCTTGATCGGACCGTTTATAAAAATCGACTCAAATTGGGCTTTTTAACAATACTAGTCAGACCTAATTATTATTTTAATTTCCTCGCCAAACAGACTTGGACATCTTTAAATAAATAAGGCTGGATTTGGACAAAATTTTTTTAGAATTCTCTGAAATTATCTAGGATTTTTTTAAAAAAATCTGAGTTAGACTTAGTGGTAAAATTTAGATTTCTCTGAATTTGAGTAAATTATAACAATGTATAAGTAGAAGTAAGACATACACATATGCATTAAAGCTTTGCATTGAACTGGTTTTTTCATCCTATATGAATTTTTTAAAAATGTGGGACCATCTTTAAGATTATTCTGGAAAGGACACGTTTCCAGAACTGGGTTGGGAAATATTCTGCTTTAAAGGATGAAGTCCATGTTTGATTCTTTTGTCAAATAAAATAGTTTTATGGTTCACTATTGGTGTTTTATTCTCACTACCCAAATTAATAAAATTAAGTTGTGATAATTTTGTCCAAACATTACTTAAAAAGATTTTTATGAATATTCATTGTAGTTTTGCCTTTCCTGAGTTCATTGATATATATTGCTTGATATTAATGCATTAATGCCAAAATATATGCTTAAATATCTTAATTCACAAATTTGATTCATTGGCCTCATCATATTTACATGTTAAGTATTCCATTATTCTGGCATTTCTTCATTTAATCTTAAATTTTATTTTAATACTATACATAAATTATTTATGTTACTTTAATTTTTTTATTTATGCATAATTTAAATAAAATTTATAATATATTATATAGACATGGAGGACATTTAGGAGTGGGTTTTATAATTGGTGGAGTAGACTTAACTGGTTCTCATTTATATAGTGTTGCACCCCATGGATCAACTGATAAATTACCTTTTATGGCATCTGGTTTGATTATTTATACATTTATTTAGGTTTATGTTACTATTTCTTGGAATACTTGTTTTATTGCACTTGTTTCACAATGAAAAGATAACTATTATTTAATTTATTATTAAACAAAAACATTTTTTAATCTTGTTTATTTATAATGGTACACAAAGAATATTTATTTATTTATTTTGCCAAATATATTTTGATCCCAGGATCTGGAACATTTGCTGCTCTTTCAGTTTTGGAGGACCGATGGAGGCCTGATATGAATGTATAAATAGATTATAACTTTACATATATATATTTATATATTATGATTATGTTCAAAATTAGGTATGTATTATAAATAATACTCACAAAGGATTCCCCTATTAAAAATTCTGATCATATTTTTATTTTGCTTTTTTTAAAATATGTAATAGAACAATTGGAACACTATTTTAGTAATTGGTTATAAAACTAAAATTATCAAAAATTTTCTTTTAGTTTTTTAAAAAAATTTTTTTTTATCATAATGTATTGCAGCTTGAAGACGGGAAAAAGTTGTTATGCGATGCCATAACATCCGGTATTTTAAATGATCTCTTTTCAGGAACTCAAGTTGATCTATGCATCATAACTAAGGATAAATCGGAACTTCTTAGACCATACAAAGTTATATCAGAAAAGGGAAAGAGGTATTGTGTTAATATTTACTAGAGACCTGCAGGCCCCGATCAAAGCCCAGCCAAGGTATGCGGGGCCATATAAATTTTTTTAACCTGGGTCAAGCTGGCCAGAAAACATTTTTAGATCAACTTAGACTTAGTCAAAAAATTAATTTTTTCTATGCACCTGGGCCTTTCAAAAATTTAGATATAGTAATTTAATTTATACCTAAACTACAAAAAAGATAAACAATACAATATAATAACCAAATCCATCTAATATTCGTAGTTTTTTTATAGAGATTATTAAATTCTTAATCATTAGAAGAAAATAAACTACAGTATAAAAAAGCCACATCATTTTAAAACCTGGACACAAGCCTGAAAATTTAAAACCCAGGCCCAAAACTAATAATTTTAAATAATTTGGGCTGGGCCAAAAAAAAATAAATTTACAAACCCCAGCTGTGCAATTGGTTCTTCTGTAGGTCTCTAATATTTATATGAGATTTAAAATATAATTTGCCATTAGTAGCATTATCAGCATTATAATGCCTATGCAATAGATTTAAAAATTAAAAGCTCTCAACTTTTTATAAAATTATCATGTTTTTTTTAAATGTAAAATCGGAATATATTATTTAAAAAATTCTTATACTTATTTTATATTAATCATTTTTTATATTATATTTTAGAGAAGGGAATTACACGTTTAAGAAGGGAACCACCGCTATTTTGAACCAAGTTGTTCATAAATTTAAATTGGACATTGTAGATGAAGACGAAATTAGAATGGACACCCATTAATTATCGAAATTAATTGGAAATGGAAATCTGCTTGTTTTATTTTAATCGAATTATCTTTAATTTTTATTTGATATTTTTCTAAAATAAAAATTATAACCCTCAATAAATCGAAAGTTATTTAATTTATACATTTTAGAAGGACATTTTTGAGTTAAAGTTCATAGGAAACTCATTTTATGCCAAACTTATACCTTGAGTTGTGAAACTGGTTTAGTAGTAAAAAGCGTGTAGTAGAATCTGTATTTTGTAAAGTTAAACGTTGAGAACGTGACAAAAAGCTCTAACGAAATAATTGATGCGCTGAGATTATAATGTATGGTTGATTAGTGTAAAGTACAAATGTGCAACATATCTTTCTTACAAATACTGTTATGCAAATATTAGTCTGAATAGGCTGAGCTAGCGTTTACTAGTTGTAAGAATGATGATTGCAAATATGTAACATGTTTTCGACTTTTGGTAGAAATTTAATTGATGCAACTCTAATATTGGAATGATGTGTTTGCTTCGGTGCAAGTCGAGTATTGTGAATATCAAAATCATATAACTTTGATTTCGCTTCAACTTGGTCAATATTTTCTCACTTTTCTTAGTTATAATTTCTTCCTGTGGCCATCTTATTAAATTCTTTCGTTCAATAGTTCCATTTGTAATCATTAGTGCTGCATTAGATTGTGATGATGAATCAGTTATTAAGAATAATATAGTTGACCCAGTTAGTGTATTTAAAAAACAAATTATAGTAAATAACATCAATTTTTTCATGAAAATTTATTTTTATTTGCATAACACGCCTTTTTTTAGTGTACAAAATATTCTGAGGGGCCTGGCAAAGTTACCTTTCTATAGCGAAATAACTTGTAGCTTAAATGCTGATTGACTGTTAATAAATGCAGCATTTCCACAGATTGGAAAAGAAGTATTTTCTTCCCCATTTTACAAAGAAAAGTTTATAATGTTGGTTTGTGGGTCACATTAGCCTGTCCTCCCATCCAAGCTGGATTTCGAATTTAATTTTTCTATGGGCTTGGGCTAGGTTTGAGCTAAAGATTTTGATTTTTTTTTATTAAGCTGGACGGAATTAAAGATTATCTGAGTTGGCTAAAAAACATGAAATCCCGGCTATTAGTACATTAGTGTTTTTATACTTCAAAACATTTGGAAAAATTATAATAGTAGAAAAAATTGACGGAATATTGTTTTTAGTTTATTATTATTAAATCATCATTTTATATTTATATATATTTATCGATTTTAATTAAAATAATATCAAATTAAGATTATACTTGATGTATTTTAATTAGTAACACATTAGAGGAACGAGTCACATCGGGTCAAGGAATTTAAAAATTAATTAGGTCTATGTTTTAAATTTATTCCTATGATAGAGAATGAAAATATGTACACTTCGATAAAAAAATTAATATACCAAAGCGTAAACTCTATTCTATCTATTGTCTGCTAACATAAGATTAACTTTTTTAAAAAATATTTTGTGATGAGTGAGGTTTGGGGCACACGTCATACCGCAGGACTTTTTATCAAAAAATAATTTATATGGTGGTTAAATTTTTTGGACTGAAAATTGAAATAGATTAAAAAATAAAATTATTTTATATTAGATAAGTTAGTCAGTTATGTTTGAGATATTATAGCTGATGTAACTGAGAAATTTGGGGCTTGTAAACGATATCGATGAATTCTAGTATCTTTTTCAATTATAGTCCGTCTTAAATTTTTTTGGTAAATTATCCTTAATTCAATACACCTATTATTGTGGTAATTGAGAAAATCTAAAATAAAAGGAAGAAACAAATTAGTATAATTAAAAACAAAATTTAAACATTTCAAGATTTTAAAGTTTTATTCATAACCATAAACTATAAATACTAATTATCAAATAAAAGTAAAAAATTATAAGAGAAATATTAAAAGAAAGTAAAAAAATATAAGAAAAAGTTAATAAAAAAAGAAAATTATATGCGAAAAAAAAAGTGAACAACTCCAATTGTTAAACTTAAAGTATGAAATATCTACAATTATCACGCGTCATCTCATTTAAATAATCTAGGGCGTAATAATTTTAATAAAACATTATTTTTGTTTGAATATTATCATAATTTGAAAAATGCATTTTTTAGTAACTAAATAATACAAGATGCGGTTCTATGTTTCCAGATACTCTTTTAATAAATCAAGCGCCGTAAAAGAAACTTTTAGATATATAATATATAAATTCGCTATTTATTACTTCTAACCAATAGCCCACTCTTTTTCCTTAAATTGAATTAAAAAAGTAATTAAAATCCAGGATATCATAAAATGATTATATTTTTAATTATGGATATAGAGTTTAAAATTTTATAGTAGAGGATGGATTCACCTTTCATATAATAAGATTGAATTGAAATATCTAAAATTCATCTACACTGGTGTTGCTAGCTTTTCACCTTGAATGGGCTCTATTTTTTTTTATCTGAAATAAGTTAAAAGGGAAATTCTATTTGGTAGAAAAAAAAGGCAATTCTATCTAAAAATTTGCATAAAAATAAATCCATCATACATATAAAAAAAATATATTTAGCTAGTAGCTCTCCGGGGTTTTCAGAAGCTTAAGCCCACTAAACTATGCTACTGATAGGGAAACCAGGGTAAAAAGGTCAATGCTTTATATTTTATCATAAAAATTTAATCCAACAAATTAAGTAAGAAATCAATGTGTATCTCACCGCATGCAAATTAAAAAAGTGTAGCTATGAACAGTTATATGAAGTGTATCTAACCTGCGCTCATGGTAAGGTGGCTAAGCAGTGGTAAAATAGTTAAAATATTGCGCATAACTTCTGAAACAAGATATGCAATTTTATAATTTTGAATGTGTCCATTTTTGGCATGTACATTCTAATATTTCATCACCTTTACGACTATTTTAATTGTATATTATAACATGAAATTCTTATTAATTTTCCATTTTGCTCAATAATTTTTTCATATGGAGTAGAGGTTAATATTTTTGAATTCTTTTTTACAGCTTATATGAGACGAAACATTTTAACGTTTTACGCATATCCGCTTTACCTCAGGGTAATAATTATTATATAAGTTTCTATTGCTTGACATCTAGTAAAAAAATTAAATTTTTAAAATATAATTTGCTAAATAAAAAATTCCTATGACGTAATTTTTGTTATCTGTGTAATCTAAAAATTTTTGGCAAAATATATCATGCAAGAAAATTTTCCCAAAAGATCATAGGTGAAATTATACCTCTTCACGCTCACCAAATAACGTCTTTTTATTCAAGGATTAGAAAGTTATTCCCTTTAAAATATTAATCCATCAATCACTTTACCTCGGTCTCACACAGTGAAGGTAATGAAGAACAATTTCTCACTTGTAACAACATTTTTATGGTTAAATCAATGCCCTGACGACACTTATCCAAGCAATTAGCTATCTGCTCTACCGATTATTTTAAAAAATCAATGAAGGACAATATTTTGGTGTATACCAGTTTAATTAAAATTTTTTCGGTTAAATATGAATCCGTTAAACAGCAACTGAAAAAAAAATTAATTTAATTTCCTATTGTATATAAATATCGCGTTTTTTAAATCCATTTATACTTTGTAATATACAAATCCGACATTAAAAAGGTAAATTATTGATTATTTTTTATTTATTTGTGAGCCTCTTCCGCTTTCAGTTAATGAAAACTGGTAACAAAATAATCGATAAATTATAAAAAAATATATTTTTTTAAAAAATTTAATTTAATTCGGCCATAGATAAGACATCTATTTTTCTCTTTAATATTAACCAAATATGGTATTTGAAAAAAATGTTTGTTTGAAATGTTTAAAAAAACTTTTATCATGAAATAATGCCAAAAATTGAGCATTCATTTCTAAATATATTCAATTTAATTACCTTGCTACTAATATTATCATCTTGCTTACAAATTACTTATAGTTGGAACTATGAATATCCAGCACTCGTGGATTCATATGATTACAAGGTAAAATTTTATATTCATTATCATTTATAGTGTTTTTATTCTATCTCATTTTGAAGTTTTATATTTATTCTTATCTATTAATTTATTTAAGTAAAAATGTTATGGTCAAAAAATTATCCTAATTATTTTCAAATTAATCTAAACGTCGGGTACTTATATCTAATATTAAGGATGTAATACAGGAGGAAAGTTATTGTATGATAATAATTGTAATATTATTCAACAAGTACTCAACCTGATTAAGTATTAAAAAATGAATATAACGTGAAGTTATGTAAAATTATGGGCCAATTCTTATAATATTTTTAACATTGGAATTTAGCAATGTAATTTTAATTTTATAATACTTGTATCAGCCTCATGTATTCGATGATTTATAAATTAATTACTTATAAATAATTGGGTTCTATTAGTGTAAATATGTGTATACATACTGATGATGTTCAAAAATAGGAATCATAAAGTGGGCATATGTGAGCGTTTGATAAAAAGTGAAATTTGAATAGGAGAGACATACTAAAAAGCATTTAATCTTTCTTATTTTGTGAAACTAAAATTATATATAACCAAATATCGGGTGGCCCTGATCCTAAGCTGCTTATAAAAGAGTCGAGAATCTTCCAACATAGATCCAATTATGAGAAATTGCGTAATCCTCTTAATAAATAAAAAATGGTTGTATATCACTTTGAAATAATAAGTAAACTTTAGATTTTCAAATTCTTTTAAAATATACTTATATTTTTGTGTTTATAAATTATTATATCTTTTTAAAATGCTATTCAAATTAATTTGGAAAATATTTTATTATATATTTTCAGTTCAAATCTAAATAGCTAAAGAAATCTCCTTTAATTTAAATTGGCAAGCTTTTTTCCGACTAGTTTTATTAAAATGCCCAATTTTTATAAACGACTCGATTGAGATTTTAGCCAAAATAATATTTTGTAAGCCTCGAGGTTTGGCATTATCACTAACAGTCGGGTATGCAAACTCTTCAAAATTTTCATAAAATTTAAATTATTTATAAATAAAAATCATTTAAAAAATATCTGTGTCCAATTAAGAACATATTGACTAATCATTTGAGGTGACCCCCCTTCCATAAATTGTATTGAAAAGTATTATGCTTTTTACAGGCCTTTAGTCGAGTTATTATATTATTTCTGTTAATAATTTTGAAAAAAAAATTATTAATACTTCTGCTTATAATTTTTTTAATAGTATAGCAGAAAGAATTTCCCTGTTGGCTTGTGGTTTTTCAGGAATGACCTGCCTATTTGAGTTTGTACAAGATCGATACCGTCGCTTTAATTTAGACACTAGAATTGTATGTGAGTAAAGTTTAAAGTGTGCTGTCTCTTTCTAAGATTTTAATGGCGATTCCCATAATCTGACCGTAGTTTTCACACATTCGGCTCGTCTACTATATGAAACATTGGCGTAACCAGAGTTGGGCAGTACCGCGAATACTTGTATCTAAGATACAAGATCCTTTTGTATCACGTAGTCAGTATCTTTTTGATATTTCTAATAAGATACTAGTATCTGTAATACTAGTATCTGTATGATACTAGTATCTGTATCTAAGATTCTTTATTCTCTAAAGAATCTTGAATCTTTTTCATTTTTATTTTCTTGACAAAAGATACAGATACAGATTCTTTTTAATATTCATGTTTAAAATTTTACACATCACAGTATATATTTTATTTTCTTCGAGAATCTTGTATTTGTTTCCTTATTTTTTTTCCTCATATTAAGGTAGAAAAAAAAATAACAACACCAAAACGAAATAAGTATATATTATATGTTATATATAAATGTAACTCGATAGAATATCATTACCAATTTTATGTAATATTAATAATTTGTAGGATGATTAACAATCATTGTAGTGAAATTTAATTTAAAGAAATAAGTTCCCCTGAATTATATCCCAATCTAAAATTTATATGGAAATTTTTTTTAAAATAAAACTTACAAAAGACAATTTACAGGCTAGATGTAAAACCTGTATAAACAAAAAAATGATAAAGGGTTAAACACAATTTTGTTAAACATTATAAAGTATATTATTTATGTGTAGTTAAAAGGGACATAGGTTATCTTAAATATTCAAGTTTACAATATTGTCTACCTTTTTTAAAAGCTGCCCAAGATGTTATAGGCAAAAGATTTTAAGAAAATATTTTCCTATGATTTGAATATAATGTGGCTTTTTTGACATCAATATCACATCCATATTTTAAGGACTTATGGAATGAGTTGGATAATAAAAAAATAATTTAAAAAAAATAATAATAAAAGAAGCCCTAAATGTAGTACCAGAGTATATAATCAAGTTCAAACTATAAAACCAATAAATTAACATCTAATATAGAAAATGATGTTTATTTTTCTTTTGGTGAAACAAATGGTGCTAAGTTCAGTAATACAAATAGCATTGAGCTGGACGTTTTAAATTATATTAAGTCGAAATATATTATAAATACTTAATTATTATTCTTCCATTAAGGAAATTTTTTATACATTTTAATACTTTTATCAGCTCCAATTAAGGTTATTTAGTTTTGGTACAATTTTAAATATGCCGAAATGTCAAAGGTCTAATGATAAATTATTTCAAAGATTTGATTTTTATAATAAATGTATTTTAAATATTTTGCAAATTAATATTTCAACTCCCATTAAAAATACGAGTCTCTCTTCTCATTTTATGCTAAGGATGGGCTAATACATATTAAAATGCCTGATTATTATAATTAACTCATCTTTAAATGTTTTATTAATTATTGTAAATATTCATTCTTATTAATGTGTATGTTATGTTCTTCACAAATAAATAGTAAAAACTGTATTTTATAAGCTATTCTAATTTATTTAAGATACTCTAATTAAGTAAAAGATACAAGTATCTATCTCTATCTAAAATTCATTTTTATAACTTTATAAATATTATTTTTAAATTTATAATTTAGATAAATTAGGGGAAAGAATTTATAATTTCATCAGTATTTAATTGTTTAAATAAAATTTTTCCATTGATAATATGGTTAAATTATTGAGAAAAGAATCTTTCATGATACTGCGCAGTCTTGTTTTAATTAATTTAATTTTACTCATAACTCTTTCGGCAGTACATGAGGTTGTGGGAATGGTTAATAAATATTTATATAAAATTCTTAAATTAGGGAAAGCAGAAAAATTTAAAAGTAAACGATAAGGTAAAATAAATGAATAGTTTTTCCAATCTGAATCGTAAGTCCCTGAATTATCATCATCATCAGAAGAAGCTAAATAATGTATTGGTAAAAATATTTTAATTAAATAAATTTACAATTCTCAGAATCTGACAAATCTTTAGATTCTTGAACCTCTAGGTCATGAGTAATAATTACATTCCCCATTTTGGCCATCTTATAAATATTTATAAACTTCAACATTTCTTCGAAAATTTGACTTGAATTTAAATTGTAAAATTCACAGATATCCTCGATATCTTCTTTAATAATTGATTTTTCTGCCATTCCCTTTGGCGTAAAAAATGATGTTTGATGTAAAAATTTCATGAAATCATCATTAAATCTTTCGTTAAACTGCATAATAATTAAATCGAGTGCAGCATAAAACACACCTATTTTAAAGCTAAAAAAAATTTATATATTTAATGATGAAAGTATATATACCTCTCCTTTTTGGATTGTAATGTTTGAAGTCTAGAACTTTCAAAATCAAAATTTAGATTTCTCTCCTTCATAAAATCTTGCGCCTTTAAAAAAACATCCAAAAATTCAGTGTTATGTTATTATCGATTAGATTAAAAAATAATTAAGACAATAATTTATATTATACTTCTCAAATTAATCAAGCAATCTTTTGTCAATTGAATTTGATTTATTGCATACCCTATATCCTTCGAAATGGTTTGCAATTTTGTATAAGCCAAACTTGTTATCAACAATATTTTATCCAAAACACAAAGTGATAAGATAAAATCAAATTTTTATATTCTAAAGACTATAGCACTAGCCATAGTGGAAGTGGCATGATCTTCAGAATCCTTTAAATTTGTTAAAGCTGCCCTCAAGGCATCATAAAGTTGAAAAAAATCTACAATAGCTTTATATGACGATAGCCAGCTTCTAAATAAAAAAAACATTTAAAATTTAAATAAATAAGGAACTATTACCGAGTGGTATTCTTGACGCGTAGAAATCGTTGCGATTTTTTCAGATCATTACACTGAAATTTTTTGAGTACCTCATATCTTTTTACACCATTAAAATAGACATAAATCTCATCTAGTATTCCTATAACATTTCGAAGTTCTTTAATTGATTGGCATAATTGAACAACGATTAAATTTAATCGATAATAACACCAAATAAAAGCTGCCTTTGGCGCCTCTGCTCTAATCAAGGCTTGCACACCATTGATTCTTCCACTCATGTTTGAGGCTCCATCATAACTTTGCCCAACTAGATATTCAAGGGGTAAATTCATCGAGCCAAGTTTGAATATTATATTATGCTTTATATCGAGACCTGTGGTATTTTCCGTACAATATATGTCAATCAGTCTTTCAACAGGCTTCGACGTCTCACTATTTTCATCATATCTTACTATCAAAGCTATTGCTTCTGATTTCGAAACATCGCATGTGCCATCAACTATGATTGAAAAGCACCTGTTAAATATAATCTCATTTTAAATTTTTTTTATAACCATATTTTTCATGGTTTCAATGAGAATGTTTATGTTATTATATGATAATAGGTTTGAATATAATTTCGTTTTTAATCCTTTATTTTTTTTATCCCTTTTTCTTTCTTCATTTTGCTGTGTATACATTTTTAGTATAGGTTCAGAAATCTGCAATAAGCTTAATAAGGGCCATCATATTGCCTTGTTGCCTGTTCCCCCAGAAGGCTTGGTTACGAGATATTAAATAATCTAAACATCTTATTATCATTCTTATAATAGAACGGTTATTATCTACACATTCTTTCTGAGGTGTTTTAAATTTTAATATCGAATTTTTATTATGAGAAAGCCTTCCATAATCGGCCATCATATGTCCCTGTGAAGATTCATGCAGAATAATATCACAATTAATATTTTGCCATTTATCTAGACCTTCACATGTCCATTTTGAATTTGCGTGTGGACCACCAAATAAGAGACATGTTAAGCAAAAAACTTTATACATTTTAATACTATAAGTAATCCAATTTCTAGGAATTTTGCTATTGTCAATATTGGTTAATATTTTTTGGCATATTTTAAAATTGGAAAAATAATTTATGACAAGAAATTTCGGATAACAAATTTACTAAACATCGACCAAAATTTCCGTCAATATATTAAATTAAAAATTAAGTGGGGGGGGGGGGTCTTATTGTTACATTTATAAACCAGAAATCACATGATCATGATGGATGTAAAAAAAAAGTACCCCCACTCAAATTTACTGAAGCAGTTGCTTCGGACCCCCCCCCACCCCGTTGTAGGGGCCCCTGTTGGGCAGACTTGTCGGACTCTAAAGATATTACATGAAACATTCTAAAAATCTATAGATTTAATCTTAAAGGAATATAGTCATTTTTCGCGTAAGAATTTCTTTTAATATCAATTTTATTTTAAAAACAATGCATATTTCAAGGATACACTCCCTAAACCTACATTGTTTAATAAAGTAAATCGTGATGAATTAGAAAACGGTGAATCTCATTTGATAAAAGAATGGGTGATAGGTGGAAAAGTGGGGAAAAATGTATTTGGTGAATGCAGTGGAATATCTTTTGACAACAAAGGTGATCTTTACGTGTTGCACAGAGGAAAGCGCATTTGGGATATCAAGTTTTATGTCCTATGCTATTTATTTACATTTATTATATGGTTCGAATATATTAGACCATTTTAAGATTGGTTGTCTTCTTACCATTTTCTAAATATTTTTTTTTTACTTTTAAGAGATAGTTTTTAACCCTGTTGCATTTCAAATATTTTCTAACTAAATTATGAGAATTGTTAGTATAGTTGATATACAATTGTAAATACATTTAGAGTTTTTAAGAAAAAGAGTTTTGTAATTAAGAAGCAAAAATATCTGGGATTACATTATTTAAGTATTTCTTGTGAAGTTCTAAGTTGAATGCTAATTTTATAATTTTTTAGTAATTATTCTTTTCCCCCTAAAGCCAAAATTATTTTAAAGAATCATATTTCGTTATTTAACTTCATTTTTGTTATTAAACTTTCATAATCTCAAAAGTTCTTTCAATCACTCTCACTTCAATCATATAAATGATGGCCCTATCAAGGAAAAGACTTTGTTGAAATTAAATCCCAAAGATGGAAAGATTGTCGATTCCTATTTTTCTAAAAAGTTTTTAAAAAAAGACTTAAATATTTTTCATAAACCTACAGACCCGGCCCGTGACCCTGGCCAGGAAAATTTTTTTAAAATACCCAGACCAAGCAAAACCGAATATTTAAAATCGTCATCCTTAGCTATAAAAATTAAGAATAAATGTATTATATTTTAGAAAAATCCGGACCGGGCCTGAAAATATAAAACCCGGGCCGGGGTGTCTGATATATTTACTAGATGTTGATATATAGATTTATTGGTAATCGGAAAAAAATCCGGGTATACTTTGATAAAAGGACACCAGAATCAAAATATGCTGGATAAAAATTGCACCAAATTTAACGAAATATTAGATTTGAAGTTAAGGTTGACTTATCTTTAAAAATAGGTAAAGAAATTTGGATTTCCACGGTTTATTTTTTAACAGGGGGTATTTATTTTTATTCCGATATCTTTTTCTGAGATGTGTCAAAATCTTTTTACTATAGACAATTTTTACCCGGAATTCAGATTCAATAATAACTAATAACTATACTAGTCATATTAGGAACATGGAATCTCTGGAGATACAAAATCTCTCAATTTTAAATCATTTATTTAGTGAGAGCCATTTTTTGAATTTGAATTCTGATTTGTTTAGAAATATATAGAGTAAAGGTCAGAAAATGGGAAATTTTTAGGTTCGACCCGGTCTAGGTTAGAATTTAGCTTTTGCTTGGCTTTCTTAAATCTTTACCCCATCCGGCCCGTTTTCAATTTTTTACTAAGATTACTTTGCCCAATTGAGTTTTTTATTAAATACAAGACCTAACCCGAATTACATGTGGTTGAACACCAAAATAAACAAATATTTAATATTGGAGAGTGGAGAGTGGTTAAATTTAAAACACTACACTTTATGGATTATCACTTCTATCTAATATCAGAATTTATTAATAATCCAGTCAACCTGGCCCGGCAGAAATAAAATCATTTTTAGACGTTAACCGGGCCGGGCATCGCAGATCTCTAGTATAGAGTGCATACCTGATATATTTCGGAAATTTTTCGCCATGAACCTTTGTTTATATTAATTTATGCGAAAAATATAAACTTAAAAGCACTTCTTAAAGTTCATTCCAAAATTATCAGAAATTGACAGTCTGGGTAATACATACATATGCATACTGATATTCATTTTCTGTTAAATAAAAAATTTTAAATTTAAAGATTATAATCAAGAAATTATTTTGAATTGATAAATTCCGAATCCACTTTAATTCCATAACCGAATAAAATTCTATTTCCAAAAATAATTTATATCTAAATTTAGATTTTACATGCCACATGGTTTGACAATAGACCAGGAAGATAATGTTTGGATTACTGATGTGGCCATGCATCAGGTAAAATCTTTATTTAATCGATTCTTTTAATATTTGTTTTTTAAAATGATAAAACCTAACAAATGAAAAATATTTTATGAATTCCCAAGGTATTTAAATACGAAATGGGAAACTTTGCAAAGCCATCGCTTGTGCTTGGAACAAAATTCAAGGCCGGTCATGATAATTATCATTTTTGCCAGCCAACTGACGTTGCAGTATCTTCTACCAATGGTCAATTTTTTGTATCCGATGGGTAATACAAATTCGTTTTATGATTCACTTACGTATTAACCCATTAATGGTCAAGATAGGAAAACGACTAAATTTAGCCGACTAGCCAACAAAAATAACTAACTATTTGTCGTAGTCGATACGATCAAACGATCAATCAGAGTCAATTTTAAACTGCTTTAGCTGCTAATTTTTTTTATTTTTGTTCCTTAAATCGCCATATTACTAATGATCCCATATTTTAAAAAAAAACATTAGATAAAAGAAAATGAATAATTATAAAAATAATTATTAGTCAAAGCTATTTAAATTGACTATGATTATTAGTCTTGTTTTTTAAGACAGCGAGTGCGACTAATAAATAGCTCTAGTTATTTTTTTATAAACTACTGCTTAGTTGGAAGTGGCCATAACTAAACCATTCCCAACTATAAGTCTTTAAGAAATTCTAAAAAAATTGTCCTAAAAAATAATCCTAAATAGTAAATCGGAACCGTCGCACATCTGTAACCTTGACCATTGATAGTATAAAAATAGGATAATTTGTATGTATAGGAACAAAATAATATTAAAATTTATAAAATTCCGAAATTTATTGATATATTTACCCAAAATTAAAAATAACGCCGGTTTTCGTTTCTAAATTATTATTATGTGTTATATCCATATATCAAAATGATAATTTTGTTTTTGCTATAACTCTTGACATATTCAACCTTTTTTTAAAACAGATTTTTGTTTATATGCACCATTATATATGTATATTTAATATTATGATTATGATGATAAATAAAATATTTCATCCTATCTTGATCCGTCAGTAATTGTTGTTATATAATATCCACAAGTATTTTTAGGTATTTTATTTGGTAATAAAAACTAACTGGAGAGCCCTACACTTGTATCCTTAGAGGATTTTTATAAGTGTTATCTTTCGGGTAAGCGGAGGTTAATTCCCCCGGGAAAAATGGGGGGGGGCGAGGAGGTGATTTATTTTACGAGGCATATCAATTTAAAAATTTGATGAATCTTACGAGAATCTGGAACTATTGTATAAAGGATATAAAGGTACTACCTGCTAATGCCTCACTATAGAATTTCCAAACACTCACTATTGCATTATCGTCTATCAAAATACTAATAATTCACTGATCTTTTAAAAATCGATAATGATATTGGCCCTTCCTTTTTCGCCATGCTTACAATAGTTTCTAGATTATTCAAAATTTCTATCTTATAGTTCCGTTATGAAAAATCAAAGGTACATTTTGGATGATAAAAAGAAGAAGAAAATCTTATGAGGTGTGAATCAGAATTATCTTCATTATTGTAACATTAATATATAGTTTCAAACAATCTTAAGCTTCTTTGGTTATGATAAGTTCAAATTCTATTTTTATCACTTGAGAATATATTTTAATGGAAACAAATAGCTAGAGGTATATATAGCGATTATTTTGCCTTTCCATTATAGCTAATTTTCTAAAATTTCTTTATATTTTTATCCATTGAAATCAACCTTAATTTTTTAACGGTGGTAGGATTTAAAAAATTATAACAGTTAAAATTGTTTGCCTGCTATATAAATTCCATTACCAATAAAGATTTATATTAAGAAAATCCGAATTAAAGCATTTGAATAACAAGGATAAAAAATATACGATTTCAATTGGTCATCCTAAAATATTAAAATTTCCTAAATAGGTTTTTATCAGTCTTGTTAAGGAGCGGCGCTCCGGAGCGCCGCTATATTTTTTCAAAAAAAACTGGAGCGCCCCTCCTTTTTAAAAATGAGAAGCGGGAGTAGCTCCTTTTTTTTAAATATTAATAATATATTTGTTAATTAAAATTTAATGAAAATAAAATTTTATTTTATTTAAATTTATTCATTATTAAATGTTGAGCCGAGTTTTATATTGATTTTTCATCTAATCATTTGAAACATTAAACATCAGTTTTTCCTTTTTATATTGAAAATTTTTTGAAAAATCTTGTAAGTCATATTAATATTCATTTTATAGATATATAATAAAAAATAGTTTTAGATATTATGGATTTAGAGATTTTAGAAGAAGAAACCGAATTTCCATTTCCACCATACAAAAAATATTTCAAGCTTATAGATGATACAGATGATAAAGTCAACTTAAAGGCCAAATGCCTATTGTGCATTAACAACAAAATGATTTCTTTCTCTAAAATCAGCAGCTTTAACCCTAAGACGTGTTCAAGGCAAGCATACTTTTGATGTTTTGGCTAAGATGATAATTGATATACATAAAAGTTTTAAAATTCAGAATAAAGTGATAAAAACCATTACTGATAATGGTAGAAACTTTGTGAAGGCATTCAGGTAATCTCAAATATTTATTTTAAAATTATAACTTTCCTTTTATTTTTTAGAATGTTTGAAGATAAAAGTTCTGAGATTGATGATGATTTCCAATTTGTGGATATTGATGATATCCTAAATAATAGGGCAGAAAGCTTTGATTATCTCCCTCAACATTCAAGATGTGCTTGTCACAATCTTAATTTGGTGGCAACAGTTGATGCAGAGAAAGCTTTAGGGGATAGAAGCTTTCAAATAGTATCTCAAAGTTTATTCCAAAAGTGTCAATCTTTGTGGAATAAACAAAATATGTCTACAAATATGGCGGACGAAATTATCAGAAAGTTGGGTAGGTATCTAATATGCCCAAATTCCATTAGGTGGAATTCGTATTATGAATCTATGGTTTTGCTAGATAAAATATTAGATGAAAAACAAAAGGACCTTGATGAGTTGTGTGATAACCATGGGCTTATACGTTTTAACTCCCAAGAACGTAAATTTATTAAAGAGTATAGTCAAGTAAATATTAATATAATCGTTATCTTAGTGGTATAAATAAATTTTAGGTTATGGAACCTATGAGATAAGCTCTGAAAATCCTTGAAGGGGAGCTTAATATGGACATGGGTTTCCTAAGTCCTACCATTTTTAAACTCATTTCAAAATTAAATGAATTATCAGATTTAGAGTTTTGCCAACCTCTTGTAAAGTCTCTCATCAGCGGTATTAATAAAAGGTTTATAATAAAACATAAATTATATCTATTTAAATAACCTTATTGCAGATTTCCAAATATTTATAATGATGATAATATAATTGCAGCGATTGTCCATCCTGCATTTAAATTGAATTGGGAATGGATAAAAGATCCAAAAAATATGGAACTAAAAGCCAGATTAATTAATTTTTTAGGGAAACAAATACCCGAAGGAAAAATAGCTACAACTAGTTCACGGGAACCCTGTAAGGATTTGGAAGATTTCTTTGATTCCATGAAATCGATTACCATGAAAATAATATATTGGATAGATATTTTTTAAATAATGATAGCAAAATTACTATTTTTGAACAATTCCATGAATTAAAAAATATTTATATTAAATACAATACCCCGCTTCCCTCGAGTGCTCCTGTGGAGCGCCTATTTAATATCGCAAAACAGGTCTTAGGGGAGAAGCGTGTGTGTTTGTTAGATTCTAATTTAGAAAATTTATTACTTTTAAAAGCTAATAAAAGATTATAAATATTTTGATATATCATATAATATAAATAAAACGTTTTGATAAAAAAATATGATTTTGTTTCGTGTACCTTCTAAAAAAATGAAAATCAAAGGAGCGGTTATGGAGCGGCACTCCATTAGTTGGAGCGGGAGCGCTCCTTTTAATATGTAGTAGCGGGAGCGGGAGTTCGCTCCTTTTGAGAAGGTAGGAGCGGAAGCGGGAGTCGCTACTTTTAAAAAGGAGCGTTAACAAGACTGGTTTTTATTGTTAATTAATCTTAAAATATAAATAATATCCCTAATTAATGTAACTTTAAAGAGTTTCTTAAAAAGAGTAACGATAATACATTTTTCATTATTTTAGACAAAGTAACGGTATTTAATTCAGGAGCTATTGCCCCTAGATAAATTCTCATTTATAAGAGTTTTTTAAAATTGTTTAATTGATTCGTCTAAATTGATCATTATTTGAAGCCACAAAAATTTCGAGAAATATTCGCAATGTTACCAAATGATAAATTACATTTAATCCCCCCCCCCCCATCCCACCTTAAAATTTTAAAAACAACTCATTTATCCATAGCGTAGCTTGTTGTGGAAAAATATAATCAATAAATGCACATTTTGTATTTTCAAAGCAAATTGTAGCATAGTGAAATATTTTTACCATGATATATAATGGCTATAATAGAACAACGCGTATGGATAATTAAAAAATGAGGCCCACTTCCTTGTATTTATTTATCTATCGAAAAACTATTTACTTTTGCATAATATCAATGATAACTTCGATGAACAAAATTTTTTTCATTTATAAGCTCCTAACAGTTTTTAAACGGGTCCCAAAAGAGGAGGGCCCATCTGCAGCGGGACCTCTACTGTCATAATTATTATACCATTTATTATTAAAATTATTTAGCAAAAGAATATAAATTTTAAATTTAACTTTTTAAAAAATATTATACAGGTATTGCAATCATAGAATCATTAAATACGATGCAAATGGCAACATAATTAGCATATTTGGCAAAAGTATGCATTAAATATATAATAAATAATTATAATAATATGTGAATAAAATTAATTTGAATTATTGTATAAGGTGATTCGTATTGGTTAGGATCTCAAAGGCAAAATTTTTTAATGACTCCCCACAGTTTGGCATTGATCCAAAATTTGGATTTAATATGTGTTGCTGATAGAGAAAATAGTAGAATCCTGTGCTTGAAGGCTGGCGTTTTAAATATGGATAATTTGGACATATATTCTGCTTATAACAATCCACGACTGACCAACTTTCTACCCCGCTTTAGTTATAAAATTGTTGACAATAAAGGTCACAATTACCGTCCATACGCTATTAGTTACTGTACAAAAGGTATATTGTTTTATCCCCCTTCCACCAATGATTTTAAATTAAGTAATCAAACCAAAAAAATTTGTGTATACTTTCAAATTTAAAAAATAATATACACTTTAAGTAAAGTTTTAATGTTAAAATAATTTGGAGAAGCAATATTATAATTAGAAAATTGATATTGATTAATATGAGTAAGCCTTTAATGTCAAATTGCCTTTAGTGAAATGTAAAATATTTTACTTGGGACAATTAAATAGAGTTTACAAAAATTCCTTAAAAACCAATATTATAATTATTCCTAATACATTATGCATTATTCCAAATATTTTATGTTTATTTAGATGGTAAAATGTATGTTCTATGCCAATCTGACAACGAAAATACTCCATTTATCGCGTTAAGTGGCGAGCTCTCATTACAAGACGATACTTTGAATTCAGTGTCTTGGTACCAATTTCCAGTAATAAATAAATGCGTATATTTGTTAGCCAACTTAGATTTTTATTGATCCATTTAATTATATTTATAAAATAAATTTATAATTAAATAATTTATAAATCTTTCTATATTTATATATGTTAGATCTATAATCTCTATATATTTTAAGTCACTTTAAAATTAATTTTATAATAGATATCTTCAAGACCCCATGATTTAACGGTAGAAGATATCGCTAATTCTAATGATAAAAATATTTATGTGGCTGATTTGAGTCAAATGGTTTGGAAACTAAAAGAAACCGGAAACGAATAAACTTTCCTTTGATGATTTTTTTAAATAAGCGTCAATACTGATCACAATATTTTCTCACTTATATCCTTTCATACAATCTTTAATGTTGTTTTTTAAGCTATTTTTTTGGATTGCGCTATATAATAAAAGCCATGTCACATTTTGTGGAAATTAAAAGGCTAGTGTAAAGCAAGAATTATGTTAAAATAAAATATACAATAAAAATATCCCCGAGATATTCTTTTATAAAAGTACTAGATATTTTTATGAATTCAAAATCAATTTAAGTCTTTGATTACTTTATTTGGGCAATAGGGAATTCTTACGGCTAAATTTTAGATTAATTCTTAAAAATTTTGCTTATTTCTCAGTTTTGGAAATATCTATTTTACACTTTTTTAGTAAAATTTTTAATATTATTTCTGATTGACAGATTTATTGACAAAACAAAAAAGGTATCAGTTTAATAGGAACAACAGTATATGTATATATAAAATTTTACAAATATTTTTTATTAAGGTTCTCGAAATCAAATTAAATATTTTAATAATTATTTAGGTAAGTGTTATAAAAACAAATATATATAAAATTACAAATAATATACAATAAACAATATACATATATTAGTAATAAGAAGAAGAAAAGGAAACAAAGAGAGAAAAAAGATGGGGAGGGGGGCATAAAAAGTATTGAAGTTAAAAATAATCATCTTGTGGGATGCGGCTGCCTATAAAGCAAACGTAATTAGCCTTGTGTATCGCTATGGCGAGTCTTTGTCTTAAGAAGCCTTCGCGAGGTTCGTCCGTAAGTTTGCATATGTGAGAGCCAAGTTCCTTAAAAAAAGATAAAGCACATTTTCCCAAAAGTTGTAAGGGTAGTGGAAATGATGGGAATGAATATGCATTTTCGGAATATTTCGCTATTTTAGGTGACTCCTTATTCTCAAGAATGTTAAGGCTTTGTTGGATGGTGCAAGTCGATCAATACACGAGTAATCCCAGATCAAGAATTGACCACGCTCCAAGGAATTTGAGAAATCCCGTCAGGCCGTTTCCCATCAGATCTGAAAAGATCGGAAGGTTCAAGAATAGAGGGAATTTGAGCAGATCTTAAAGCTCTAAGGATGATTGAATTGCATAGATTACAACGATACGACCTTTACACGAACGGCAGTGGAGGCTATGTCTTCCATTACCCAAAACGGCTGAACTGCATCCTGAACATGTGTGGAATTGGGTTATAAGGCAGTTTAAACAAATACCAATCGCGTCGTTTTGGTTCAGTTGTAATTGAAAATTAACTGAGGGAATTGCTTCAAGGAACTCATGGCCTGAACCATTAAGCAGTTAGGAGAATAAAGGACGGTCAGATAATTGCATTCTGGAAAGGAGTGATTCAACGCAGATTCCGATAATAGGCCTAATCCAGTCCTTCTGATTATTTGTTTCAGGAAGAGGGTGATCAGCAACAATTCGTGCTTTCCACTCGATGATAGCATCATTATAGGAAGAGTCGGGTTTTATCAAATGAGAATTTACTATATTTTTTGTTAAAAAAAACTGGATATGAAGGCTGTTAAGGCGAGATTTGACGGAGATCTGATACCAAGTCCTCACATCTTAGTGGGTAAAGAGGCTTGTGTCCATGCAATTTCATCGAATTTAAGGTTTAGAGTATTTTCGATTAGGACTTTAATCCCATTTTTATAAACTCCGAGAGGAATGGGGAATTTAAAAATGGGAGTTGATCGAAGGGCATAAAGAGTATGAAGAATATTGAAAAAAATTTCAAGAGGATAAGGGAAAATAAATCAGCTAACTTAAAAAGTGTTTCAAGTGTGGACTGAAGGAAGGAAGATATTACAGTGTTACCACCAACAGAGGCACCTAAATGATATAGTTTATCAAGGGTGGTTAGTTTGAAGTTGTTAGAATTTGGTTCTATTGAATTGATAGTGATGAATTCAGATTTATCAAGATTGATAGAGAGTCCAATAGCAGACCCAGTCTCCTTGATCAAATTCACAGCTTTATTGACCTCATCTTTGAAACCACCAAGGATACCATCATCAATATACCAAGCATGTAAGGATAGTGAGCAAGTCGTGTTAATGGATTTAACTAGAAAAATAGGGAACCTAGAGGATCTGTTGTATGTCACGAATGGGAGGACTTTTATAAGTATCAAATTGCAGGGTGGAAGGCAGTTGATAATAATAATGAAAGAATTTTGTGTAACCAGGGAAAAGAGTACGAGAAGAACTCAGGAAGGAATTCCGGGAGAGTGTATTGGACATTAGAGAAGTCTATTTTGAATAAAGATTCATTGAAGGGTAGATTTTCTAAATGCAATCTAGTCATATGTACAACCGCTTCACAGCCACCGGGGATCCCAACACCAAGTTGGAAGGGGCTTAAGAGACGTGAAGCATCATGCTTTATTCGAGATGATATCATCTTGTAAACTAAGCAACGAAAGGTAGAACCGATGGTAATTGGTCTAATATCATCAATGGGCTTTTGAAGTGCGATTAGCTTAGCACCGAAGAGGATAGGAGAAACAAAGCTTGGTGCTTCACCTTTTAAAATTTTATTGCAGAGGTTTGTTAATTTAGAAAAAATGGGAGTTTGTGAGCATGTAGAGGGGGAAGTGATGTCCTGGATAAAAATGAGGCGGATGCCATCAAGGCCATGGGCAGAATCACGATTAAAGGAAATCCTCACTCCTTCTGAAGTAAAAATAGAAGCACAAGTTGAGTGAGGTTGAGAGGAAATTGGGATAATGTTTGCTGTGGAGTGTTTTTTACAGAGTTTTATATAAGTGGCCATGGAAGGCTCAGCCAGAAAGTCATGTGTGGACATCAATCTGAGTGCTCTTTTTATATTGAGATGGTCAATTTTCTTGCAAATCAGATTGGCCTTCATCTCAAATGGTGAGTATTTTCTTTTATTTATGACAGGCAATAACATTTTGAATTCAAGAAGATGAGGAGTCTTAATCGAAGCAGCATCCTTGATTTGCTGGGTAAAGGAATTATGTGACGTTTTGTCAGGCATCCTGAAGGTATTATATCCATAGAATAGGAATTTTAGCCATACATGCTCATTGCTAAAGTTTAGCAATAGGGAGGATAGACAGTCAGCGAAAGATTTAGCAACTAACAATCTTGCACCTTTGGGGATCCTTAAAATCATATTTGGTTTGGGATGGACAAGAAAAAAAACCTGAGAAACTGGAATTTGAATTGTGAAGAGGTGGAACAGAATTTTCTGGAGGGATAATCGATTGATTGATAAGGGATAAAGGAACAAAGTCAGAATGTGGACATATGAATGAAGTAGGTCCATGAACTTGTAAGCATCCATCTTTTCTAATTTGTACTATGACATGAGGGACAGATTTGTAAAGGAGATATGAAGATAATGAATGATAAATTAATGATTCATGTTGTTGAAATAATAAATTTAATTTCATAAATAAATATAAAGAATCCAAAACATTTTTGAATAATGAAATTTTATACTTAAATATTAAAAAATAAATGTTTTTTTAAATATATTTTTTTGATATCAAATTTTATATTGATTACATATTAAATTTTATTACATTATTTTCTTTTTTTATATGGCTACAAATGCGAATGCATTGAAAGCTGATATATTATTCAGAAGTCTTGAAGCATAGGTAACATAGTTTTGATGGAAAAATTTTTAATTTTTGGATATTTTTTTTATCTCAGGAATCGGAGAAGAAAAGTGTTTTGCTGTCCTGCATGGATAATATAAAAAATATATTAACAAGTAAAAATAATTTTTTTAGGCCATAAATTATAAATTCCTATGTATAAAAATTTAGTCTTAGATATTATGCATATGAATTTTTTTAGACATTGCTCATCATGAATAACAGCAGAATTTTCTCTTTTATTTGATGATGGGTGAATAGGAAATTTTTAATATATAGACTTCATAACATCTGGAAAATTGTTTTTTTAGTACTACAAATCAGGGTTGGCATGTCGGTCAATTGACCGGTCAAATTCGGTCAATTGACTGGTCAAATACGGTCAAATACTCTAAAATATTAATGGCGAATAAATATTTTGATATAATTAACTAGTATGCATTAAAAGCATGTTTATCAATCTTATTATTTTTTTATTAAAATATAAATATGTAATTTTTCTAAATATAGTAATATTTTTAGTTATTTTTTTGCCTAATCATTGCCGTTTCTCGCCTTCTTTATTTTTTTCAATTCATTTTTCTTAAAAAAAATAAAAATACCCGATTTATTATAATCATAATATAATTTTTTCATTCTTATTTTTTAATAAATTTAAATTTTATTTAATATTTAGCCGAGTATAAATTATATTAATTCTCATTTGTTTTACTTACACTTGCTATATTTGGTTTTTAAAATTAATTTTCATTTTAATTGTTCTGGTCAGATTTACGGAATATTATTCAATTCTGGTAAAAGTTTATTATATTATATTTATAATATTAAGAAATTATTGGAATAATTGGTCGATAATTATAAAATAGTTAAGATTGATTAACTTTACAATAATCAAAATCATTTTTTGTTAAATTTTAATATATTAGGGATTATGGTCAAACCAAAGCATCATGTTTGGAAACATTTTCAAGAAGTACGCGATGGTAAATCAGTTAAAGCGGTGTGCAAGTTTTGCAAGATGTCCTATATCACCCACGTTGATAGAATGGTCAAACATTTCTTAAGCAGCTGTACTATGTGCCCTGTTATAATTAAGGAAAAATTTTATTCAAATTCCAAAATATCAACCTCTACAAAAAATATCACAAATGTAATTTGTAATACTTCTAAGTCTAACTCTAATGAAGAATTGGGTGAAATTAGTGAGAATGATTATCAAATAAACAATATTTTGTCTTGTGACTCAGGAGAATTTGATTCCCTTATTTCTAATCAATCTACAAGCAAGGCGATTAAATATAAATCTCAATCTTGTATAACCGGTTTCATAGATAGAATTAATCCCAAAGAAAAAAATGAGCTGGATCAATTGTTTGCAAAGGCTGTATATGCGAGCAATTTACCTTTCCACATCACTGAAAATCCCTACATCCAAGAATTTTTTA